TATATATATATATATATATATTCTGACATAGAAAATATTGCTTATCATATATATAAATATTTTTAATATAAATAACAGTTTTGAGGCCTAAATAAACAAGTCTCACCGATCCGTCCATTCTGCCTGCAGAGCACCTTTTTATCCAGCGGCTCGTGTACATCCGGGTCTTTGTTGTTCCACTCTTCTTCTTCGGCTTCCATGTTCCTCCTCCTGCAGACAGAGGCACAAAAACACCCGGCTCTTCATCTTTGGAATGCCGCGCGACACCTCAGCTCCATCGGACGGACACATCCCATCGGCAGCTAGCTAGCTGAGCTAACTAACTAGCCGTCGCTCGTTAGCATGGCTAGCCGCCGTCCGCTGCTACCTCTGCGGGTAACCGCGTCTTACTGCGCCTGCGCGTGAAAGACCAACTACCACCGCAAATAGCGTGTTTTATTACCCTGGAGTTTGCCTTCCAGGTTGTGATAAAACCTCATTACAGACTCTAACAATTAAATATTCCAGGTTTAGAGTTACTAAAATGAGGCGAGATATTGTTGGAGTTCAGCTCTTGTGAATAAAAGCTGAAGTTATTCGTATCTTGAGATGAAAAACAACCTGTAAGGCTTCGCACGGTGGTATACCAATGCTGTCTAGGGGTTGCTCGATGTAGATACGGACATCTCTCAGAGAGGCGGAGTTAGTCAGCTTCTCAATGAATTAAACTTCAACTGAGCCGGTTGTCTTCACCTAACGTCTGATACAGTACACTAAAACTAACGCCTCTCAAACAATTCAACGTCTCAAGGATATCAACACATTTAATAATGATTAGAAATCTAACAGCAAATTAAAAAACACAATTTGACATAATTACAGTAATAATATTAAGGTGAAACCACGGATATAGTTTTATAGTATTCTTTCAAATATATTTTATTGTAATTATTCTATTCTATGTTTATGTTTCTTGACTTTCGCAGATGTTTGCTTTCATTTTCTTATTTCCTCTTAATATTTTTATGATATAATATTTTGTATATTATATATTATATATATATATATATATATATATATATATATATATATATATATAT